ATGCCATGTATTTAGTTTTGCTTGTTATTTAGTTTTCCTTGTACTTTTGGTGGCGAGTGACTCCTCGCCACTTTGCATGTTCACGCCTGCCAAAGGCAAAATACTTTATAATCTACCTTAGGGGGGTACACCTAGTCATCCTCCCTACATTACGTTGTATTCTTGTCTTGCCGCTAATCTATTCACTTGTATTCAAGCTTACAACAACTTCCAAAATGCTTACAAACGTTTTCCAAAACCGTTTTCTCGAGAACGGGGGTAGAGGTTGCGACATATATCCTTTGTGCCACCGGCTATTCGTTTCCGCATTGGCTGACTTGCTAGAGGGTGAAAGCAAGTGCCGCACAATCGCTTCCTGAGTCCCGTTAAAGTGTGATTGTGACAGTTGGTATCAGAGCCTCCTCCTCGAGTTGGAAAACAGTAACCATGTCCGCGACAAAACAGTTGGGCAAGTCCCACGTCGACAGACTCGTCGAGATCCAAGAATAGCTGTTGTTCTTGAGGGAAATCCCTGACAACATTAGATATGTTGAATCTCGGCTGGATGAGATCTCCACCAAAGCTGACGGAATTGACGTCGTGAATGCCCGCATAGACGGGCTTGCTATACGTGAGTTAATGCTTCGGGTTGAGACCCTTGAAGACAAGGTTAAGCGTACTGATAACCTTGTGCGTGGTGAAAGCTCATCGAGCACAATCACCCATATGGAGGAGCGTGTCGAAGAAATAGACATCTCCTAGAAGACTATTGTGCAGATGGTCAGTGAGCTGACCGACGACTTCAAAGCCACCATCGACGAAATGAGGGCGGAGATTGCCGAATTAGGCATCAAAGTAAATCTCACCATGAGAGCGGTGGGAAATCAGGCCCCAGTTGGGGGACCGATTCAGTTCAACAAGGTGAAAGTTCCCGAACCCAAGCCCTTCTGTGGGGCGCGAGATGCTAAAGCGCTTGAGAACTTTATCTTCGACCTTGAGCAGTACTTCAAGGCGACAAGCACGGTGACAGAGGAATCGAAAGTCACACTAGCCACAATGCATCTTGCCGACGATGCGAAGTTGTGGTGGAGAGYGAGATATGTAGATGTACAAGAGGGCAAATGTACCATCGACACRTGGGAAAAACTAAAGCAGGAACTCAGATCCCAATTTTTCCCGGAKAATGTAGAGATYCTTGCYMGTCGTAAACTGCGTGAATTACRACACACAGGAAATATTCGAGACTATGTAAAGCAGTTTTCAGGGTTGATGTTGGACATCCACGATATGTCCGAGAAAGACAAGGTCTTCGCCTTCGTG